GCATACAAAATCTGTATATTAGGAGGACAGACAACACATTGGTTGCCAAAAGGACAACTCTATAATCCCCATCCCCCTGCCCAGTAACACCACACCTCCACTGCCACATCTCCTTTGAAGTAACCACAATTCTTTATGCTTCTGACATGAAAGAAGTGTTTCCTGCAGTTCACAGTTGGAGCGCTCCACCAGGGCTCCCACCTTTACACACACAGTGGGAACTGAAACATTTATGTGAACTGATGGGGACGTCAGATAATTTTACAAGTCCAGACGCGCTGTATTGTCTTATTGTGACACTTGCAATTTACAAGAGTTTGAAGTCAGTTTATGGCTAAATGGTTTCTTTGGCAGGAGAAACTAAAGGAGATACTTCTGAAGTAACAAACAAACAAACAAAAAAAAAGCCACTGACCCGCCATCTCCCTGATCCATGATCTGCTGCAGTCCAACCTTTCAGAGCTTTTCATATATGCATTTAGTGTGCAGAATCCTCGAGAAGAGCAATTTTGTTAAAGTGGTTTTTATCAGAACAAAAAACAGGGCTGATAATAGCTTTAAAATGGATGGAGAACCTCCACACGAGAAGGATTGCAGGCCAGCAGTGTTGTTTTCTTTCTGTCAGAGCACATCTTCTGTGTAGAGTGTCTTCACATTAGCAGCTTAATCTGAGTGGTCTGGAGTCTTTCTAAATGTTTTGTGAAGGACTTGATGTTTTAGTGGAGATCTATTTCTGATGAAGTTTAGTCACGGTGGCTCTGTAAGAGGATCTCTCCAAAATAAGTTACAGAACACTGGAAGCCGGGACTTCATACTTCCATGGCTTCAGCCTGGGACACTTTCCAGGCATCATCACATTAGCAAACACGCAGTACATCAATGTCAGCCTACTTCAGTCAATGGTAATCTGATTCAGCACTTTTATACATTTTATTTTCTACTGTAAAACCATCTGCACTTTTTCAAGAACACCATCGGCTCTATTTACTCTTATATAACTGTGGTGCTCTCTCTGCTGGTATACATCTGTGAATATCAGTGCATCCTGTCCTTGAGTAAGACAGGAGGATAGATAGTTGCCATGCTCGACAAAGCCACTCATCACCCTTGGCAACAGAAGTGCTACTCTCCCTCCTCCAACTCAAAAAAAGCAGCAGGGTGGATATTTACATATTTCACAGGCGACTGACCAATATGAATTCATTATCATGGACAAGCAATGGGATGATGTGTGTGAAAGGGGGGGTTATAGATAGGGCATGAATCCAGGTAGGGGAAGGGCAGGCAGACAGGTAGGGCTTAAATCCAGACAGTTAAGAGAAACCAGGGCACCAGACAGATATCTGGAGCATCAAAAAAGCACTTTAATCTGGCAGTAAATGAAACATGCTTTTAAAATAATGTAGTAAACCATAAATAAAAGGGTTCAAAGCTCCTTTTAAAACAATGCTTTCAAATCTTTTACCAAATCCAATTTACTCATAAGTTACTATATATAAACTTGAAACACAGGTGTACTTGTATAGACAGCTTCTCTCTGGATTTTCAGTGAAATTTATTTCACAATAAGAAGACTCCACCTCTTCGAAGCTGCATATTTATGATAAATTAATATGGAAAATATAGCGACTGTAAGTCCGAAGAGATCATTTGAATTCGAGGTAGACTAGCATTAAGGTTTGATAACTTTCAAGTACACATATGGAGGTAATAAGTTTAACACCATCTCATATAGAGTTTATATACCTGTATTTGCACAGTCACAACTCTATCCTTTGGATCCATTCTAGTGTCAACCGTGGTCCTTTCACTTTCTCAAATATGTTGACTCACTTACGCTAACCTGTGTGGACAGACTGATGCTGTGTGTGGGTGGGACAGAAGAAGGGCCAGGCACCTCCCTGGTATATGGCTTGAGATGCCCATTGCTGGAGGCCACAGCTACTATTCCCTATCAAAGATTTTCACTTTGTTATCAATTAACATACAACACAGATGCAACAATGCACTGGAGACACAGCTACATCTACTAAGCTTAATATTATCAGTAAGTGAAGACACACAACTTGCAGCTCATTAATGCTAAAGTGCACGGACAGACACAAAATAACCTCCCCAGATTATTTGTTATGTGAAAAAATATTCCCTTTATAGAAAATTCCTAATAATGACAATGCCTTCTTAAAGCATCCACCTCCCCCTCCATTCTTAAATTTTTGGTCCTGTTTTCTCCCAGCTCTTATAGCAGTTGTTGCTAGGCAACAGCTCACACCCACATATGGATATTAGCATTTGCATCATAACAGTAGTAGTCAATAAAAGCACTAAATATAAGGATAATGTAATACTCCTCTTTAGGACCACTATGTCAGCAGTGATTAAGGCAATTTAAAAAAATTAAATAATGATGCAATAAAAAGAAAAGTGACCCGGCACGCATCTCAATGCAAAGTGCCTCTAGGGAATCAGATTACAGACATTTAGTACCAGCCACTAGATGCAGGTGCACAGGTTTTGTTATAAAATGAGTGAGAGCAGCAGGTGGCTGCTGAATAGAAGGTGGGGCACAAAAACAAAGCAGCTTATTAAAATGTCTGTGCCTCACAAAAACAGTGAGGTACAGACATTTCTTAATCATACTCAAGCATACCTTAGATATTATTTCATGCTCAGCCAGTCACGTATACACACATACAGGACTGGCACAAGTTAGGACCTGCAGTGAGGAGGTGTGTGTGAACTGTTTTAGTACCATGTGTAGGAAGACAGGCAGGACAAGCTCTGTGCTCTTCCTTCTCTAGTTTCACCAGAATGACAAAATATGGAGGGGAATAAACTGGAAAGCTAGTCACTTCAATATAATAAAATAATTCTGCCATGACTGTCTTTAACTGCCTGGGTAAGTCAGGCCAGACTGAAAACAGACTCCTTGCCATTTTTAAAATAAATTCTCATGTTAAAACACACCAATCTTTAAGATTTGTGCAGATTGTGGAGATATTAAATCTTGAAGCTCGCCTCTCTAGGACACACCACATTACCTTGGTTCAAGACTTCTAACAATCAAGTTGTCCTTCATTTTCCTCAGAGTCTTTGAGATGATTGTTTCTGTCTTCATGTCCATCACCGTCAGTGTTTTCACATGCACTTGCCTTTTGTACAAGGCCATGTTCATTTTCATTAGCTCTTTAGGTAGGTAGGTATGTGGCATTGTTGTATGTTGAGATAAAACTGTGCTCTGGTTATTACTATTACTGTCACGTCTGTAGGAACAAACACATTTGTTTCCTGGGCCCTGCTCCTCTTGTTAATTCAGGCTCAAACAATCATGTTCATCACGTTAAGGTGGTTCTTTGAAATGAGGTTGTGGACTAAGTGGCTAATCTTGGATGAAATTCTAAAACAGCAAACAGCAAAATAAGTAGATGAAAAAATAGTGTACATGTAAATGTACTCAACAGAGGATAAATTCTGATTTTTTTAAGGACCGTTTTACAAATTATAAGCATATTTACATATGTAAAGGACAGCCTGACCATGATTATATATATAATGTTTCACCAAGATCATAATGATCACAGTATTATACAGCCTTGCATTTTCCCTTTTGCTTGTAAACCTTTTCCAAGGAAACATCAGCTTCTTTTGTCAGTGCAGGAATTTTCCAAATAATAATGTTCAGAAGACAGTGGGAAAGTGACCCGGGCAGAGGAAGGAAAGTGTCGCTTCTCTGCCTCGTCCTGTGACCGTTCGACTCAGCCATCCATCATCACTAGAGCAGGGACAAGCTGAATGTACATCTCACCCTTTTTCTTGTTTGCCACAAATCACCACATATCTGGTAGTCTGTGGACATGTACAACAAGCAGGATATGCTGTGAGAGCGACAGAGAGAGAGAGAAACAGCACAATGACAAACAGAAAACCCCGAAGCAAACAGGCAACAGATGCTGACGTGGAGAAACGAGAGAATCTAACTGGCAAATGCAGTCAATTTCTTTGTCTACAAACATAATACGCTAACATTGTTCTGTTTAAGTAAAACACTGAATAAATGTCACTACCAGATAACTGAAGCACATCTGACAAAATTAACAGGGGATCCCAGGCCTAGATGCTGTTACAATATCCTCTGTTAGTCTTCCATCAGCCCGTACAGGAGTGCAGCCAGACTGGCACGTGGTCTGAGTGTGGCTACAACCTTCTAGCGTGCAGGCAAGGGGCCAAACAACTGGATCTGTGCCCAGGATACAAGCTCCAGCCCTGCAGAGAGACAGTGCACTCCGCTCCCTGTTGCCTCTTTGCCAGCCAGGCCATTGCTACTGCTGCTACCCATCTAGTTTGCTACCACAGAGACACACTGGGTGACTGCAGGGCCTCCTCTATGAGCATACAAAAAGACTGCAACCAGCACATATGCCATTCTGCAACACTCACTCACACACACTAGAGGATTCCCTTACACACTGTCACTTGTGATATACAGTATATGACCAAAATAACAGAGTGCCCCTTATTGGTGGGTTCATTTCAAACATGATATCAGGACTAAAAACCATTTATTAATTTTTACACTCAAGCAAAATGGATCCTTGCTCAGCGTGGCAATGAGTGTCCCCTCCTCTCATATGCACTGAGCTACTGTTATAGCCCACGTTTAAAAAAAAATCAGACAACCCCACAGGAACCACTGACAGGGCATGTCTCCCAATAAATGTGTCACACTGCAAATACACAACCGAAAAATGATGACATTTAGAAATTCGAAGCAATATGGTTAAAGATTTGGGCAAAAAAAACCCGACCTAGAAACACTATCCTGCTGTTGAATTGATTGACGAATTCAGACACTAAACATACAATTTTCCATCTATTACCCTGTTGATGCCACCACACATTCTGTATGAGTGGAAGCGACCAGTCCCCGTCAAAAAACAGATGCGTAAAACAAGGTGTGCCATATTTCGCACCGCCGTGATGTGCCTGAGCAGCAGTCTTACCTGAATCGGGGCGAGTCTTTTATACATTCTTCAAAGTCCACCGTCATTTTTGTGATTTCTCGTGTATTCCCACTTCAGTCTGCCAGTGTCATTGCCCGCGGCAGGATGTCGCTTGAACGGTGCGGATGGTAGCTGTTATGCTTTGACGCGCAGCAGTCTGTCGCCCCTCTCCCGGTGACACTGTGACACAAGATGCGAGCTCAGTGCGCGGCAGGCAGCTTACTACTACACTGCTGCCGACAGTGCCGAGACTGTAGAGGCGTAGCTGCACCATGGAGACCAAATAAAGAGGGAAGAGCGCCGACTAGTTACAAGCTGCCGTAACAAGAGGAGGAGGAACGTCTATAGTGATGTAGCTTTATCTCGAAAAGGTTTATATTACAAATGTAGACTAATATAACAGGAAAAACACATCTGGACGCAATAATACAAACTCTTAAAATAATAATCGTTAATAAAGTGGCCTGCTTTCATAGTTTACAATAGATTCAACCCGTAACCTTCCTATAGCCTAAATATATTACCGTGATAATTAACTTCAACTTTAACTTATTGCCCCCAGGGGGGAATTTGTCTTGAAGCCGGCAGAACACGGTCTTTAACAAATTAAAATACATAAAACATAACACAATAATATATAGGACAAAGGCTAAAGGCCCCCACAAAAGCACAAATGAAACAAATATAGCCTCCATCAGCATAACAGCATAAGAAAAAGACAAAGGATTATTTGGCTACTATTTAACCCAAGTGTTCTGCCACAGAGGATGCTCAGTAGGCTGCATAACATATCAACTCCAGGTGGGCAACTTTCATAATAATGTTGGCTACATAATAACATAACAATATAAATAATAACCCAGATGTCTAAATCATTTGGCAGTGCCAACTGAGTTCAAACAGGTTATATCCTTTCTTTTCTTTCTTTTGTTTAGTTGAATGGAGACTTTAATCACAGAATGTTGACCTATCTTCCCATTGTGCATTAATGAAGTGAAACAAAAAAGCATTTCAGTGTTAATAGACTATCAGGCTGCGATTATTCATACATCAGTGTTAGGTGTCTGGTTTTCTTTCTCTTGTCTTTTTCATAATCTAATCCGGTGATCTCGAACTGCTGTGTTGCTACTGTTGACTGTCTTTAGCCCACTCCGATATCAGCCCGCCCGGTTTATGTCGTAATCAAAAGGGGACAGCGAAGTTTAGCCTTGAAAGTATAAGGTATCGCGCCTAAAACTATGTCTTAATGTTTATTTGCATACCATTTGTAGTACTTGTACCGACCATAGGTGTTACACACTATAAACACAGAAACCACGCTGCACTGACTGCCTATGAATAAGCATGCTGTAAAAGACGGCCGGTCACCGGAGGCGGGATGTCCGAGTGTCGATCATCTTAAGTGACATGCTAATTATCATAGCGTGCGTATTTAACGCAAAGCATTGATTTTGTTCCGTTTGTCATGTTCATATCATGGATGAAATATGGATTAGGGTGACACATTAACCTGGCATCCACATATGGAGATGCTTCCAGTTACTGCGGACTCCACTATACTTCCGGACTACAACTAACTATGAGGCTTCTGGGAAATGCTGTTGGTGATGACGCTGCGGCCGCTGTGACACACGAAGGCATCGGGAGAGGGTTG